CGAGGCGGCGGCTGCTCAGTTTCTCAAGAAGCTTCGCCTGAAACCACGGTTGCATCTGCAAAAGAAAAGGGATTTTGTTCACCTCCCAGAGCACAGGGCTAGGCTGCTGCAAGGGCCACCGCCTGGCTGAGTACACCCCCTTTCTGCATTCATAGTCTTTCCTAACCTGTGACCCAATAAACAGATGGGTTTATAATATCTAGAGGCAGAGAAAACAATACTGCTTGTATTGCTTGGTTTTATAAGGTTTTTTTATATATTACTGTCTTGGTTTTATACTCTTCTTCAGACACTGGCTACTGCTGAAGATGGGAGGAGACAAGCTTTTGGCATGGATGTTCTCACTCCTGATTAGTACAGGGCTGGGTGGATTAGCTTGCTCTGGAAATTTGTTCTACCCTGGTTGCCCAAACTAGCTGCTTATTTTATCACAGCATGGCTTACAAGCATTGGAAGATGCATCCAACTTCACTAGGTTGGTTCCTCATGGGCCAAGGGCCACGCACTTGTGTTCATCAAGCCATGGTGGTGCACGAACAGGGGAAGCACAATGCTGTGAGTTAACAGTGTTCTCTACTAAACATCTATGTAAAAGACTATGGGCTGGTGCACTGCTCGCTCATCCTCCCTTTCGAGTAGTACCATCCCTGCTTGGTGTGAAGGGACCGAGCAAGAGATGTCCCTGCCCTGGTCTGTGTGCCCTTGGAGGGATGTCCAGCTCTGTGCAGTAATGAAGCCAAAGACAACAGTTGACAGACACTGCTGAAGCGGGCTCAGAGAAGAGCAAAAGGACAACTCAGAGGCAGAAACGAAGCAATACAGCTCCACAGCCCGTGGGCCTTGGCATAAAACCTCCCCCGTTGCGTTGCAATGGCCATCAGCAGAGTTAACCTTCTACTCTAATCACAATCATTAAATTCCTGCTAACATCCTTGTCCTACGTCTGTCCAAACAGCTCTGTTATCTGTCACCTCCCCACACGGTGAGCCCGGCTCCCCACTGCCGCAGCTCTCATTAATGCCGCTCTGGCTGGCTGATGAGGCAAGTGGCAGCCGGCTCCGGAGCCCAGATGAGTTTTGTAGACAGCAGGGGATGTTTATCCAACATGGAGGGGATGAAAGTGCAAACAAAGAGAGACCGTACCATTACTCAGGCCTCGCGCAGGGCCGGTCTCATTAAAGACAGTCTCCCTGACAGGAATTAATCTGAAGCGACAACCCAGTGAGTTAACTTAGCAAATGGGTCCGGGGCTTGGCCCAGTGCAAATTACAGGGGTCTGTCTGGCAGGTAGTGCTGAGCCTGCTCTGAGGAGGGGAAAGGCAGGAACGTGTTAAGCTGGCCCCGTCTGGCCCGAGCCTGTGTATCAGAAGGTGCGGAGGAGATGGCAGCCTCAGGTCTCCTTGAGGGGCACAATGAAGATTAAACTTCCCCACTGCACCAATACCTTCTCCTTCCTCTTTCTCCTGCAGCCTCAAGTCACAGATGGGTTCCGGCTCATTAAGTGCACAGTAATTCTGCCACTATGCCCCGTAACCACCAGCCCAGCTCAGATCTTTCCTCCAGGATGCAACCCGCTTGCAATATTAGATGGCTTTTCATTTCTCTTTAATGTTAGAGCAGAGCTCTGGGAGGGGATAAAATACACAGAGAGAAACAAGCAACTTAAAAGGCTTTTTATTTTTTAAGCAAGGATCTGGTTTGGGGAGGCTACTTTGAATCCCCAAGCAACAAAAAACATTTTCAGTTGGAGTGCAGTGCCTCAGTGATTTTCTATGCTACAAGAATATATGGAAGAAAAAAAGGTGACTAAACAAATAGCCCAAAAGCCTCATGGCATCTGCCCGCAAACAAACAAGGCTGCAAACTCATTAAGCTCACTGGTTAAGGTGAAGTAAGGTGGTCGGCATTTGGATCAGTCGCCTTGGAGCAATAAAGGGAAAAACCTCCCAAGCCTTCAGGACAGAGGTCCATGAGGCCCCTGCAGCTCCTCAGCGGGGATGTTTTCCCCCCGAATTGCCCCTCGATGCCACTGCCTAAGCCCCACTGACCGATGCACGCCGGCAAATAACAGCCTATTTGCAGAGACATACGACAGAGGCTTTACATGAAGCTTGCTCCACATCGCCGTCATATGCGCTTTGCCTGGGTCGCTGGCTCCAAGCTGCCAGGCTGTTTATTTGGTTTTAATCGAAGGTTAATTCTTATTCTACTGGAACCGCTACGTCTGCTGTGCCGCTCATCCGGCTCCGCAGCGCTGGGAACAATCAGTTCCTGTGGAAATGCACCTGCCCGTCTTGCTGGGAGCCCCCACGCATTGCTTAGGAAACCAAATTCCCTGAGACTGCTTGCAATCCCCCCGGGAATGCCCAAGCAGCCCTTAGAAGCTATTTAACAGGAAGAGTTGGAGGAGCCACAGCACCAGCCAATTAATAAGCAGCACTTTGACTCTCACCCAGCCCCATTTTCAGCAGCTGCAGCAAGCAAATTTAATTCAAGGGTTCCCAGGTGCCTTGCAAAGCATCCTGCTACTTAGGGATCTTCACATTACATATGCCAAAAGCTCTTCAAGGAAACTGAGGAGAGTGAAATGAAAACCAGCAAAGCATTTTACAACCAGTGGGCATCCCAGCTGGCTGCCCTTTGGATTCCAGCTCAGCAAGAGTTAACAACTCCGTGGCAGCCCCTCACCATCCTGAGACTGCAAGCTGCTGCTGTCTTGTTCACCCTTAAGATGCTGAAGATCACCTGCCACCGACCACCGAGGTCAGGGAGCTCCCAGGGCTGGAGGAGAAGTTGAGCTGGCTGGCCGGGTAAGCTTTCATCAGCTCAATGCTGGCAATAAATCAGTCATGACTGGCCGTGTGTAAGGCCCATTTTATCTGAGGAGAATATTCCACTTCAATCCTAGCTCTCTAGGAGGATTTTTGTGCCACCACAAGTAGTGCCTGGAAGCCAGTGTATCCAGCGAGGAGGGCGCACAGGCAAACAGCAGCTCCTCATTCAGGCAGACAAATCCCCTTTCTTAAGAGCTCTCCAGTCAGCAATGCTTTTAAGCTTGTCACAGTTATATTCAGTAATGTCACCATGTTCTGCAGTCCAGCGACGGAACAGCAAGTCACAAAGCTCTTCCCAGGCACCCCAGTACGGAGAAGAAGGTGTGACAAAGCAGGACAACCTATGGGATGTGGAAGAGGGTGACGGCACAAGGGAAAG